TATATTAGGGTTAAGTTAGTTTTGATTTCTTTTTTATTAAGTTTAATATTTAGTTTTTTTTTTAATGTAAAGTAAAACAAATAACCTAGGTCAATAGACAAGATTAAAAATTCCAAATGGAATTTTTTATAGCAAAAATTTTAGATACTAATTATGCATAAAAAGACTAATATATATTGTCTGATTTCCCAATGATTTATTATGCATTAAGTTTCGACCAAAACAAAAAAAGAATAATAGTTTGGTAGGTACAAAGTAAAATGAGACCCTTCTTTAATAGAGGAAGGGCTCATGCAGATTGACGAGTCACTGTCAATGGCCAAATCTTCAGATCCTCCGGTTGTTCTCGTTCACCGGCCGACGTCTATGGATTTCATGGACGAGATTCTCAGTCGTAACTTCCGGATTGTCAACACTCACACCTCATCGGAACCAATCCCGATCTCCATCTCCACTCAAGCCACCTCAGCCAGAGCATTCCTCAACATCGGCATGCTTAAGGTCACCGACGAACTCCTCTCTCACCTTCCTTCTCTCCAGATAATCGTTCTCACCAGCGTCGGCGTCGATCACATCGATCTCTCCGCCTGCAAGCGCCGCGGCGTCGCTGTCACGAACGCAGGCACCGCGTTCTCTGAGGACGCGGCGGATTGCGCCGTCGGTCTGCTTATTAGCGTTCTCCGTCGGATTTCGGCCGCTGATCGTTACGTCCGGTCCGGTAATTGGGGGAAATCCGGCGATTTTCAGCTAGGGTCCAAGGTTTGTTCGTCAATTTCGAATCTGATGTAACTGTTAGTAGGGACCCTATGGATTCGAATTCGATGTTAACAAGACTTAGGGAAAAGTGGAAAAGTTTTGCATAGTGATCCTGAAAGTGAATTCGTTTTGGATTCTGAAGGTTGCTTTAGATTGTGGGGTACAGAGAATCTCTTGATAAAGCTTTGATTAGCTTACAAGAACTCTCTCTTTCTCTCTTAGTGGAAGTTAATGCAGAATTGAGGGTTTAGGATTACAAAGGATTTAGATTAAGCCTTATAATTTCTCTGTGTTTCGTTTAAAACAAGAACAATATGATTGAATTTACGCGATTCATTTCGAAAGTCCCTTGTGGATTGATGTGAACCAACAATGAGATTAACCGAGCTGAGTCTGCATTTGATTCATCAATCAGTTCCATGATAAAGACTAATCTTTGCTGAAGAACTTGTTATGTTACTAAAGGTCATTGTGGTTATGGTCATCTGTCTTGTTGCAGGTTAGCGGAAAGCGAGTTGGGATAGTTGGATTGGGAAGCATCGGATTTCACGTCGCCAAAAGACTCGAACCCTTTGGCTGCATTATCTCTTACAATTCAAGAAGTCAGAAACCTGACGTTCCATACCCGTACTACCCTGACATTCTCTCCTTAGCAGCCGAGAACGATGTCCTCATCCTGTGCTGCTCTCTGACAGATCAAACGTACCACATTGTGAACCGAGAAGTGATGGATTGGCTTGGGAAGGACGGGGTTATAATCAATGTGGGACGAGGAAAACTGATTGATGAGAAGGAGATGGTCAAGTGTCTGGTCCAAGGAGTGATCAGTGGTGCCGGTTTAGATGTGTTTGAAAACGAACCGGTAGTTCCAGAGGAGTTGTTTGGTTTGGACAATGTTGTCTTGTCTCCACATGCTGCTGTGGCCACGCCAGGGTCTTTGAACAATGTTGCAGAGGTTGCTTTGGCAAACTTGAAGGCGTTTTTCTCGAACCGGCCTTTGATTTCCCCTGTTCAATTGGATTGAGAGAATGACCGGTTTAATCATTCAAAGTAGTCAATAATCAATCATTATTAAATATTGAACCATTAAGAAAAGATAGTGTATTGTTGATCACTGGGCTACTCCTATAAAAGGAGGGGAG